TAGTCCTAGAACTTGGGAGGCACAGGCAGGGGATCTCTGAGTTGGTGTCCAGCCTGGACTACAGAGCAAATTCCAGGACAGCCTGGGCTCCACAGAGAAACATGTCTCAAAACAACCACTACCAACAACAATGGTAGTAGAGGAAATACTGTAAGGATGTCAATGTATAGAAAAGCTACCCCAAAGAGGAGAAACTCAGCAAAGAAACTGGAAGGTGGGGGAGGTCAGTCTGACATTTTGGAAATGAAAAACTCAATGAAATGCCAGTGAGGTGGCTCTGTGGGTAAAGGCAGTGGCTGCCAAGTCTGGTGACCTGAGCTTGATTTATGGGACCCACGGGGTGGACGGCAGGGACTAAACTCATGGAAGTTGGCTTCTGACCTTCTGCCCCCCACAAGCACAAGTCTGCCATGGCTTGTGCCCTCCCCACCAGAAAATAACTAAATTAATGTGATTTTTTTAAAAAAAAAGGCTTAATAAAGCAAACAAAACTATAGTGAAGAATATATTCAGTGTGGTGGCTCACCCTGCAGCGATGGGGGATATTGCCAGAAGATTGAGGCCAACTTGTTCTGCATAGCAAGTTCTAGGCCAGACTGGTCTTACCATAAGACCCAGTCTCAAGAAAGCAAACAATAGTAGCAACGAAAACAACAGAAAATGTCACCAATAGATTAAATCAAGCAGAAGAAAGAATACCAAGGACAATGTTGAGAGAACGCTATATTTTAACAGCAGTAAAGAAAAAAATCACTAACTCAAACTTGATCACATATTTTATTTGTTTTGCCTTTTTTTTTTTCCCTTTTCAAAACAGGGTTTTTCTGTATAGCTCTGACTGTTCTGGAACTCACTACATAGACCAGGCTGGGCTTGAACTCACAGACATCTCCCTGCCTCTGCCTCCCAAGTGCTGGGATTAAAGGCTGTGTACCACTATGCCCAGCTCCTCCTCCTCCTCCTCCTCCTCCTCCTCCTCCTCCTTCTTTTTTGTTGAGAAAGAGGCTCAAGTAGCCCAGGTTGGCCTTGAACTCAATGTGTATATGGGGATGACTTAGAAGGAAACCTCCACTGTCAGGGATTTTTTATCACAATGGTAGAAAAGTAATCAATACATTGCAGATATTATTATATTATTATTTATTACTGTTGTTAGATTGATTTGTGTGTGTGTGTGTGTGTGTGTGTGTGTGTGTGTGTGTGTGTGTGGTATAAGAGGTATGTGGATATGAGTGCAGGTGCCATACCAGTGGAGGTCAGATGACATCGTCAGAGCTCCTGAAGGTGGAGTTACAGGTGGTTGTGAGCCACCGGATGAGGATGCTGGGAATCAAACTTGGGACCTCTGTAAGAGAGTGTGAGCTCTTGACCACTGAGCCCTCTGTCCAGTTCTTGTTATTACTATCAAGATTGATTACATGGGTCTGGAGAGATGGCTCAGCAGTTAGGATCACTTGTTGTTTTGCAGAAAACATGAGTTCCCAGCACCCATGTGGTACTTCATAGCTGTTAGTAACTGTAGTTATAGATGTTCAGACACCCTCTTCTGACCTCAAAAGCACCAGGCATACATGTGGGGCACAGACATACAAGGAGGCAGGACTCTATGAGTTCAAGGCCAGCCTGGTCCACACATCAAGTTCCACACCAGCTAGGCCTGCATAGTGAGACTGTCTCAAAGGGTTTTTTTGTTTTTTGTTTTTTTATTCATTATGTGCATATGTGTGTATATCTGTGTGTGGATTTGTGCAGGTGAGTGCAGTGCACCAAGGAGACCAGAAGAGGCCATCAGATTCCTGGATCTGGAGTTACAGGTAGTTGTGGTTGATGCAGATGCTAGGAACAGAATTTGGGTCTTCTGCAAGAGTCGTATATGCTCTTTACCACTGAGCCATCTCTCTAGCCCTTGGGAACTCTTAACAACTAAAATAATAATAATGGCACTATTTGAAAACCTGCATTTTCCAGCCATCAGTGTCCCTATAAGTTACACAGATATTCCATTCATCCAGTATCTGGCAGCCTTGTTCACCAAACATAAGCTCACAAATCAGGTGAACAAAAGGAAACCTGGATAAGCTGTGTTTGGGAGTCTCTTATGTGTTGGTCCAGATGCACCCAGGAGAGAAGCAGGAAAGTTATGGGACAAAGTTCATTGACTCACATGTCAGGAGACAGGAAGTACAGCATGCCACACCACACAGGGCCTCATGGGAACAGACCCTGGGTGGTCAGGAAGTCTAGGACATGAGGAAGGGGAAGACTTAGGCCATGCTCTTTAGTGAGGTTTTTATGGGAAAGGTCAGGCATGTAGGGAGGGCAGTCTGGGATTGACCATGAGCGGCTCTAAGATTCAGGGGTGGTCCCTAGCTGCCTGCCGCCTGGCCCTGGGATGGCTAAGGGATGTTAAGGCAGAAGAGTATTGTCTCCTGCAATGTGCAGGCCAGATAGGAGAGGGATGCCTCTAGATTGGTTAGCGTGCATATCAAAGGTATGCTCCTTCTATTTCTAAGAACTGGCTATCTCCAATGAGGCGGTCTCTTCCCACGCCTGGGCCTCTCACAAAGGGTAATCATCAACCGTTGTGTTATAAGTCTGGTCCCCCTACTAGGTTTTGGGGAGTGGTTCGTGAGTGTGCCGGGTGTTCATGTGTGTACATGTGGAGTTCAAAGGTCAACCTCAGGTGTTGTTCTTCAGGGGCCATCCACCTTTTTACTAAGACAGGGTCTCTCACTGGCCTGAAACTCATCAAGTAGGCTATGCTGGCCAGGGAACCCCCAAGGATGCCTGCATCTCTGCCTCCCCAGGGCTGGAATTACAAGTGTGTTCCACCACAACTGGATCCTTGTATTTGTAAGTCAAGCACTTTGCTGACAGCTATCTCAACCCAGGGTTAGTTCTTAAAGGATTTAAAAATATTATAAGGAAAACCATGCATATGACTAGAATGCTTCCCATGTCTTCAGTGGATGTCGTTTTCCTTAGGTGAAGCCCTGTTCTAACAGTCTGGGTTATTTGTTAGAGTCTATCGGATGGTTAGCAGTCTACAGAGTAGCGGCTGGAGGGGGGGCGCACTGAAAGCAATGAAATGTGGCAGGAAGGAGAGATACAAAAACCAAACAACACAGACTAGAACCCACAAAGCACGACAGGATGTGTCCTCTTCAGAGGTCAAGTGTGGAGGGACATCTCTGCAGCCCGCATGTAATTTCTAGCTCTTCCCAAAGGCTCAGAGCACATCTATAGAAGCCAACCAGGTGAATTACTCAATGGTTACAATGTTATCTCTGTGGGGCCATCATCAAGCCTAGAACTGTTTTATCTCTGTGTGTGTGTCGCGCACATGTGAATGCACACACTTGTGTATGCAGAGGCCAGGGTAAGAATTGTAAGGTGTCCACCTTCATCATTCTCCACTTTACTCCCTTGGGACAAGGTCTTCCTGAACCTGGAGCTTGGGGGACAGGAAGCTCCAAAGATCTCTTTCTCCTTGCTCCAGCACTGGGGTTACAGGTGCTCATGCCTGCTCTTTTATGCAGTGGTGGGAATTTTAATTCAGGTCCCCAGGGTATGTGGTGTTCTGCTTTGTTTTTTGTCTCTGTGATAAAAACACTGGCAACAACAACTAGGGGAAGGAAAGAGGTTTTTTGTTTGTTTTTTGTTTTGTTTGTTTTTTTTTTTTTCAAGACAGGGTTTCTCTGTGTAGCTTTGGAGCCTATCCTGGCACTCGCTCTGGAACCCAGGCTGGCCTTGAACTCACAGAGTTCTGCCTGCCTCTGCCTTCCAAGTGCTGGGATTAGAGGCGTGCACCACCAACGCCGGGCAAGGGAGGAAAGATTTCATTTAATTTTACACTTCCAGGTCACAGTTCATCACTGAGGGAAGTTGGACAGGAACTCAAGGCAGAAACTGAAGCACTCCATGGAGGAATGCTACTTACTGGCTTACTCACCATGGCTTTCTCAGCTTGCTTTTTTATATGGATCATCTGCCCAGGGATGGCACTGCCTGCAGTGGGCTACATCCTTGAAAAACAATCATTAAAAATGATAATAATGATGATGATAACAATAGTAATAATAATAATAATAATAATAATAATAATAATAATAATATGCCCCCACAGACTTGCCTACAGGCCAGAATAATGGAGGCATTTTCCAATCAAAGTTCCCTTTTCCCAGGCAATGCTAATTTGTGTCAAGTTGACAAAGCAAATAAACTAGGGCATGTAGCAAGGGCTCTTTCCATCTCCCCAATACCCAGCCCCCCAGCCCCATTTTGGCAAAAACAGGGTCTCATGTAGTACAGGCTGGCTTCAAACTCAATATGTAGCTGAAGATGACATTGAACTCCAGACCCTCCTGCTTCCGTCTCCCAAGTGGAGGGATCACAGACTGACACTGGCACACCTGGCTAGTGATAAAGATGCTGAAGTGTAGCTCTCCACAGTCCATGGCTTCTGACAGAGGTGGGGGAGGATTCAATTATCTTTAAGGGGCTGGCCACTGGGAGCTTGACCATGCTCCAACAGAAACTGGACTTGCGTAAGAGTCAAAGTTATGTTTTAAGTTTTAATTACTGTGCTCAAGAGATCCATAAAACAAAAATGCCTCTAACTTGCTCAAGGACAGATACTTCCCGAAATCCTGGAGGCTTTTGTTTATGTTTTCACTCCTCTAAACAAGTTTGTTTGACTCAACTGCATCAGATGTGCTTGATCACATGAGGTGGGAGGCTCCTAGGCAGGAAATACATCAGGATGTATGCTTGCCCCTGATTGGACCTGATGAGAACAAGAGACTTACGAGATTGCCTTGAAAAGCCTCTGCAAAATGTGATTGGTCACCATTTTCTGGTGACCCGGGAATGGACCTGGACAGTCCATTATCCTGGCCAGTATTTAATTCAAGCTGTGTCTTAGTTAGGGTTTCTATTGCTGTGAAGAGACACCATGAACACAGCAACTCTTACAAAGGAAAGCATTTCATTGGGGCTGGCTCACAGTTTCAGAGGTTTAGTCCATTGTCATCATTGTGGGAAGCATGGAAGCATTCAGGCAGACATGTTGCTGGAGAAGGAGCTGATTGAGAGTTCTACATCTTGATCTGCAGGCAACAGGAAGTAAGTGAACTGTGTCCCACGCTAGGTGTAGCTTGAGCATATGACACCTCAAATCCCGCCTCCACGGTGACACACTTCCTCCAACAAGGCCACACCTCCTATAGTGCCACTCCCTATAGGTAAAGCATTCAAACAAACTAGTCTATGCCGGCCATACCTATTCAAATCACCATAACTTGCTTCAAATTTGGCTCAAAATTATGGTAGTAGTCTCATTCTTGCCCAGTGGGAAAAACATTTGATGCATTTCTTTTTCTTTTTGAAGAAGGGCAGAAGAGTGGGAGGGAGGGCCTGGGAGGAATGGGAAGCAAGTGTGATTGGAGTGCATTGCATAACATTCCCAAATATGCCAGGTGTTGGAGGCACAGGCCTTTAATCCCAGTACTCGGGAGACAGAAGCAGGCAGATCTTTGTGAGTTCAAGGCCAGCCTGGTCTCCAGAGCGAGTGCCAGGATAGGTTCCAAAGCTACACAGAGAAACCCTGTCTCGAAAAACCAAAAAAAAAAAAAAAAAAAAAAAAAAAAAAAAAAAAAAAAAGAAAGAAAGAAAGAAAAAAGAAATTCCCAAATAATCAAAAAGTGAGGGGAGGAGTGCTTGGCTCCTCTCACGGAGAACCCAGGTTCAGTTGCCAGCACCCACATCAGAGGGTTCACAACCATCTGTAACTTCAGTTCTAGGGAATCTGAGCCCCTCTGACCTCCCTGGGCACCAGGCTAGCACGTGGTACACATACACACGAGCAAGATACATAAATATAATTTTAAAATAAATCTTAATAAATAAATCTCTTTAAAAAAAACCTGTTCTTTAAAAAATAAAATAATAAAATAAAGCAAAGCCCCAGGCTCAGTGGAGTTAGCTATATATCAAATCCGCAGCCTGCGGTCTGTCATTTGCTTATTTCATTTTTGCAATTACTAGAAACATACCCTTACTTGCCTTCTACAGATCTTAATCGTAATTTCTGGTGTTCAGATGTGAAGAGAGTATTATTACCTAACCAAAACTAGAGGATCCTCAAGTTTAAGAACAGAGTGGGCAGTCATCCTGCAGGGAATCAAAAGTGCCGCTTTTGGCTTCTGACCACTTCCAGGCAAGGCTCGGATTGCGGAGGCTGGCCCAGCGAAGTTGAGTGGGTGCAACATTTAAGGAGGCACATAGTCTCGGGGCCAGATCCTGTCCCTGCATGATTCGGAGGCATGCGCCTCCTTAAGATTTGCGCCTGCAACTACTAATTAGCTTTCCTGCAGTGGCGGCCCAGCGCGGGAGTGTGGGTTGTCTCAATTACCAGGCTCTTTGGCTGGAGGATGCCTGCTGTTTGCCTACTGGCTCAGCAGCCACTGGCCCTGGAAGCACCAGACTCACCCTGGGCTTTTCTAGTTGGAGCAGCCCGGTTGAAGGAACCACAGAGCGTGCGTTCAGCTTCATAGCTCTGCTGTTGACGCTGGTTGGAGCTGCCTTCACCCAGTAAACTGCTCCACCTAGCAACAGGCAGCCTCTCCCAAGGGTGGGGCTGGATCAGTAAGGAGCGCCGTCAGAACACTTACCTGCCAGCCTCAGGGTGCAGGTGGAAGGCCCAGCTGGACTTCCTGGCCGCCCCAAGCCAGTGAGAGCACCGGGAAGGGTAGAGCCCCTGGGCCAGAGGTTCCTTTGTAGCTTCTCAACCCTCCTCAGGGGACTGATCTTCAGCTGGTCTTAAAAGCCTCTGCCAGAGGAGAATTGGGGTGTTAGGGAATTTCTAGGTTCCCGGAGCCAGCTCGCCTTCAGGATCGCCTGGATTTTACTTTTTCTCTTCCTGAATAGTTTCCATCTAGGTTGTAAGAGAAATTTCTCAGAAGGAGGCTTACCTAATCTAGGACTCAGATCTTCCTGCTACTTTTCCACAAAGTAGGGCGGGGGCGGGGGGGGGGAGGTCGAACCTGCCGGCTGCGGTCCTGCAGGGTTGTGGCTTGGTGAATGGACAGAGCCTTAAAGAGGAAGCCCCCCTCCTTGTTTAAGGTGAGGCCCTTGGCCCTTGGCTCTCACAGCTCAGCCAGGGTCTCTTGTGCAGCACGCAAACTCCTTGTTCTAAACCACGGGGAGCCGGTGGTCTGCTAAGAGCCCTGAAGTTTGGAGTCCTGCAGAGCAGATGTGACCAGAGGCTTGCTCAGTGTGGAGAAACAGACACCACAGCCACTCTTTCCTGCCCTGCAGTTTCCCAGACACCCCCAGACCAAGGTTATGTTTCCCCCAGTCCCTTTACCCCACACAAAATAAACAAAAGGAAAAACCCAATTTCCAAGAATAACAATTAAGGAAGGGAGAAAAGGGAGGGAAATGGGCATGAGAGGCAAGGAGGGGCCCTTATCTCTCTCCTACAGGTCGGGTCCTGCCTGCTTACAGGGCTGAGTCATCATCCTGCTCCACCCAGAACCTTACAGTCCCCACAGGAATGGCTCTCTGAAGCCTGAGTTTTCTAAGGGGTAGGCAGAGTTGTTCCCACTGGCAAGAAGCAGGGAATCTGGGCTCTGGCCCTTGCAGATGGGTTGCTGAACATCTAGACTCTAGATTCTAGAAAGATTCGGTTTCCTGAAGCACCAGGGTAGAGGGGTCACCTGGGCTGGAGAGAGGACTGTGGCAAGTGACATTTGTCATGTCCACACTGATGACAAGGGCAAAGTCTGTGAACTGCTCATAGCACTTTATGCTTGGAGCTTCTGTCACAGTGTAAGTCTGTTAATGAATGAACGAAATATAGTGAGCATGAGCCCTGGCTGACTTACAGTGGGGGTCTATCTCTACAAACCCACTATAAACTGAAATTTGTTTAACCCTGGGCTGTCACAGCTCAGCAGGATGTTCCATTCCTTCCCTTCATGATGGCTGGGTGACTTGAGTGTTGTGGCTCACCGTATTGTCCCTATTGAAAGTGTGTGCAGCACTTGAGAGACTGAGGCAGGAGGATCTTGAGTTTGAGCCAGCCTGAGCATGTCTGATATCAGTTTGAACTACAGAGTGATCTTGTCTCAAAAAAAAAAAAAAAAAAAAAAAAAAAAGGATTACATCATTAGTCTGGGAAAAGACAAAATTTAAAATAAAAAAATAAAAAATCTAAAATAAATCTCTATATTGAACTACTTTTGAACCGTTAATAGATTTGAAAAGGAGAAACATGGTTAAGTTGTGGGCTGGGAAGTATTCCTTCTGTAGCAAAACAACTTAATGGATGAACTTGAGCAGAGTCATGAATTAGGCAAAATTTCTTTTGTCTTTGCCTGCCTGTTTATTTTTTTTACCTTTTCTTTTTTCTTTTCTTTTTTTGTTTTTGTTTGTTTGTTTTTGTTTTTTGAGACAGGGTTTCTCTGTGTAGCTCTGACTGTCCTGGAACTCACTCTGTAGACCAGGCTAGGCTGGTCTTGAACTCAGAGACCTGCCTGCTTGTCTTTTGAGTGCTGGGACTAAAGGCACTTCTACCACTGCCCCAGATTATTTTTCCTTTCTTAATATGTCACTAAGTGGCATCCATCGTGTTTACACTGATGACTGACGAGGGTGAAGCCTGTGAATTGCTCATAGCCCTTGGTGCTTTGTACTTCTGACATGTTCAATACACATCTGCTGTTAATGAATGAAGGAAATGCTGGCGGAAGAGAGAATATGAACACTCCATGGTTTACAATGGGATGCTATTATTGTGTTGTTATTATTATTGTAGTGCTGGGGACCAAACCCAGGGCCCAACCTACACACCCTGCTCAAGCTTATGAATACTTTGGGGTGCACCATAGGCTCTAGGATGTCGTATCTCCGCCCCCCCCCCTTTTCCTGTGCTTGTTACATCCATCTGGGACTTCCCTGGCCCAGGCTTCTTCCAATTCTCAGTTGCTTCCAGGGGAAGTTGCTCAAGGAAGCTGGGGTTCATCCTGACAGATGGCACAGCCTATGCCTCTGGCTCATGAAGAAACCAGCAGTTTCCCAAAACTACTGTATTTGATGCTTGGTGTGGACACAGAGCTGCTGGTGGTGAGATCACATGTCTGAAAATCAGCTTGGTAATGAGTATGGAGGACTCATCACATGTCTAGAATCCCAGCACACAGGAGGCTGATGCAGGAGACTCTTAAATGCAAGACCAACCTGGCTTAGATAATGAGACCCTATCCCCCAGACAGACAAACACATTAGAAAAAAAGACAGCTAAACCAACCAATATGGAAATGATGACATGTTATGATACTGGCATAATGAAATTTTAATGTAACTATGGAAATCATCCTTTTAAATCATTTTAGTGATTTGTTAAGATGCATATTGACTATTGGAAGTAAAAAAAAAAAAAGAGTCAGGGTTCAAAGTTTTTAAATGGTGCAGCCTTGCTGGAGGAAGTGTCACCAGCCTTGAGACTTGTATGCTTCAGCTCACTTGCAGCTCCCCTTTCTGCTTTGTGCTTACAGTTAAGGACCAGATCTTTCTGCTTCCTTATTGCATTGCAACATAAATAAACTCTTATTCCTTTGGAACATAAATAAACTTTCTTCTATTCGTGGCCTTGGTCTTAGTATTTAATCGAAGCAATAGAAAAGTAACTAACACAGAGGGCTTCATTATTTAGCCCAGGCTGGCCTGTAGCTGACTATGTAGATCAGGCTATCCTCCAACTCACCAAATTCCTGCTTCCACCTCCAGAGTGCTAGAATTATAGGTATACCTCACCACACTGCCCTATAGGAACCGTATTTTTTATTTTTTAGATGTATTTATTTGTGTGTATCAGTGTTTTGCCTGCATGCACATATGTGTACCATGTGCAACGTCTAATGCCCATGGAAATCAGAAGAAGGCATTGGATCCTCTGGAACTGGAGTTACAGATAGTTATGAGCTAACCGTGTAGGTTCCGGGAACTGAACCTGGGTCATCTACAATAGCAACAAGTGCCCTTAACAGCTGAGCTGTCTACCTCCTCAGTCCCCAGGAACAGCAGTTTGAAGTCCTTTCTGGTTCTGTAGCCATTAATTCTGATGCTGGCCACTCCTGAGGGAGGTGCCCCTGTGTTTGCTAAGAGCTAGCCTTGCAATATACTGCTCTGTTAGTTTGGATTCTGGCCCTGGTTTGACACTATGTGGATAAAGACTTTAGACAAATTGTTTTGATTCTCTCTCTCTCTCTCTCTCTCTCTCTCTCTCTCTCTCTGTGTGTGTGTGTGTGTGTGTGTGTGTGTGTGTATTAGATGATTTCTAGGGGTAGATGGTCATTCTGACAAACTCATTAAGCCAGCGAGTTCCTTGTGAATAAGGCTGTGCTGTGTGTAAACAGAAGATTCTTATCCAAAGCCAGAGCAATGAGTCTAGTGGTAGAATTCACACCAGGCAGAGTCATCACACAAACACCTACCTAACAGCTTTCTCTACACACTAATACATGAAAGGTGTTACCTGCCCTTCAAAACAGAAAGGTGTTTGCCTGCAAGATGAAGACACATTCCTTTCTGAGTCTGGAGGTTCCTTCCTTGCCCTGCCTCCTCCCCAAGTCCAAGTCTTCATTGTCTGTTTATTTCTGTCCCCCTCCAGTCTCCTCCCTGTGGTTCAGCTGGGCTTATGTCATCGTGGTTCCCTGGTAGGTTGGTGGTGCAGTCACCACAGATTGGGGAAGACAGAGGAGGTGACTCATGCTGAAGGCCCAGTGAATCAGACAGGATGGGCCGGGGCAGGGGCTTCCCTCCACAGAACTACAGAAGCCTTCCTTTGATGTACTGGGGAGAAAGGACTAACCTTGCCCATTTCAGAGAACTCAGGGTGTCTAGACTTGTGAGCCAACCCTGAGCACGGAGGAAACAGAGGCAGGGGAATGAGTACACAAAGAAAAGGCAGTGTCCCCCGGCGTTGGTGGCACACGCCTTTAATCCCAGCACTTGGGAGGCAGAGGCAGGGGGACCTCTATGAGTTCCAGGCCAGCTTGGTCTCCAGAGCGAGTGCCAGGATAGGCTCCAAAGCTACACAGAAAAACCCTGTCTCGAAAAACAAACAAAAAAAGAAAGAAAGAAAGGAAAGAAAGGAAGGAAGGAAGGAAAGGAAGGAAGGAAGGAAGGAAGGAAAGGAAGGAAGGAAGGAAGGAAGGAAGGAAGAAAGGAAGAAAGAAAGGAAGGAAGAAAGGAAGGAAGAAAGGAAGGAAGGAAGAAAAGGCAGTGTCTGAGCCTCCAAGGAGGAGCTGGCAGAGGCTGAGGATCAGACTTTCCCAGCCTTTCCTACCCTGGGTCTGAGTCCTGCTGGGGTTCAGAAGCAAGTGTGCTAAAAATGCCCTGGGGATGTGAGGCCTTCAGCAGGTGTTAATGGCTTGACACTTCAGTTTCCTGGAAAACATAAGTATTTGCCTCCTGGAGTTTGGATATTCCAAGTGAAACCTAGCACTACTATTGAGAAGGGAGTGGAAACCCTGTTTTGGATTCAAAATGTAGGAAGCTTTTGCCTGGTAACACAGTACCATGGCCTCTGCCAGGTCTCCTGGCTTTCACAATGAGGTGAAGGTATACGTCTGTTACAGACCCACAGACACCAGTGGGGGCACGGCCCGGTATAGGAACTCTAGGATGGATTGGGAGCCAGCTTGAAGGGAATCGCCCTCGTCTTTCCATAGCCAGCAGTTCCCTCTTCTTCTAGTCCAGGCGGTCTCATTCCTTCCAGGCACCCCAGGCCTTTCTCCTGCCTAGCACACTCTTCCCTCTGCAGAGTGAAGAAGAAATGTCAGGAATTCCAAGCCATTTAGCACAACCCATAGTTCCCTTTTGTTTCAGGTGCCAGATGGCGTAGTAGAACACTGCGATGATTCTCTTAGGATTTTTTTGTTCATCATCATCATAGACATTCATTTTTACTTTAAAATAGTGCATTAAAATATGACCTATAAGGATGAGTGAATTATTTTGCAAACTCTTTAAACTCACCACGAACTGCTAAAATCTTTGGCTCTCAGGTTTTTTTTTTTTGTTTGTTTGTTTTTGTTTTTGTTTTTGTTTTTGTTTTCAGATGAGGATGGTGTGATGTGGAGTGTGTTTGGACACAGGATCCTGTAGACTGTGCCAGTCGCGTTAAACTTGTGATTCTCTTGCCCTCCTAGCCCAGTTCCACCCAGTGTTCACTCCCCTGCCTCTGTTTCCTCCGCGCTCAGGCATGGCTCACAAGTCTAGATACCCACCCGTCCAGGGCAATTTACTTGGGCGATTGATCACCGCGGGTCGCGCGGGGTGGGGCTGGCAGGCTGGGCACCTCGCGTGGGAAGGTCGGCGTAGAAGTCCCGACCCGGCCAGACTTCCTGCCCGCGGGGCCCGAGGCTCTGGCACTGGATACGCGCCAGGGGGCGTCGCTGGGCGGGAGCGGCTTCAGCGGCGCGGGCAGCACGGGCGGCGGATCGCGGGGACAGCTCACCTGGACCGACGACATGGAGGACGGCGTGCTCAAGGAGGGCTTCCTCGTGAAGAGGGTGAGTGCGCTCCGGCCTTGCGCCTGCGTGGCCTTGGGGACAGCGGAGCAGGAGGTGGCTGGACGCGCGGACGAGGCTGGCTCCCGCTGACCAGCCAGTCCCGCGGATCCGGCTTGGTTAGTGTGGTTCCGGGCTGGGTCTCTTAAATCAACTTACTAGGACTGAGGACGAGGCCAGGGGCAAAACCCCCGGTGAGTTAGCATGCTCAAGGCCCTGGGTTCAGTCCACAGCAACACACACACACCACATGCCTTAAAATATCCTAAGAGGTGTGGGGTGCAGGGTGGAGAGAGGATGGTTAAAGGGTACAGTTGGAAAGAAGGAATGACTTCTAACATTCTGTGGCAGAAGTTTAGATTGTGGTGGATTGCAATTAAAGAGTGTATTCTGAAATAGCTAAGAGGGTTTTGAATGCTTCCGAAGCAATAATAAATGTTTGAGGTGATGGATAGGCCGGTTACTCTGATGGGATCGTTGCAAACCATGCCTATGATTGACGTCACAATGTGTGTACAATGTATGAATATGCATAGTCATGTGTCCATTAAAACATAATAGTATGGTATTGAAATATAAAACACCTTGGATATGCTGTGTAGTTTACCCCCTCTCGTGTGTGTGTGTGTGTGTGTGTGTGTGTGTGTGTGTGTGTGTGTGTGTTGTGTGTGTGTGTGTGTGTGTGTGACCACTTAGCTGTCTGTCTTGTTTCATCCTTCATCGGTCCTGTAAGATTAGTGATTGGCACCAGAATGGTTGTTGCTATCACTTGTAGATGAGAAGATTGAGTATCAGTGAGATGGAATAGCTTGCCTACAGTAAGTAGTAGATGGGACATGCATCCCATCATTGGTCCTTTTTCCATTACCCCACGGTGAAGAAGTTAGGGACTCTGGGACTCCAGGGTATCTTGGATCAAGGGGGAAATGAAGGAAGGAACCTGCAAGAGAAAATTTTAGGGTTCGGCAGTATGACACTTCTAGTGTGCAGGAAACCTTGGGTTTGGTCCCTAACATCTAAAGACAAATTTAACATTGATGTCAACACTAACACTTATATTAGTATAATAGCAAAGCATACAGATTATAAATCTGACGCTGAGTCCTTTGGCTGTTCTGGGCTTACAGCCTTAGGAATTGGAGTAATGAAGGGTAAAGAGACTGTCTTCCTCATTGGCTCACCTGGTCACCAGGTCAGCCTGCTAGCCCTGCAGGCTCAAGTCCCTTTCATGTTCTGTTTACATATGCCTGCATTGTTTTGCACAGTGCGTGATACAGAGAGAATAGGTGTGCTTTGTTTAAAGTTGTAAGCGGGACGACTAGAAGGTGATGCCAGGTCAGTGGTCACACTGTGTCCAACTGTCCAGAATTCCATGCTCACTTTGTGTCTTCATCATTTAAATGATGAGATGGTTCATCCAGGTCACTACTGACTCCACTGTACTGCAGCCTGTGAGATGGCTGAGCTGGTGTGATGTGTGGTTGGCTGGTGATTGCAAGGCTGTGGTAAGGGCCGGTGAAGGAGCCGGATCACCTCTAGGTCAAATCCTTCAGATAGGGTTTTTGGGCCTCTGACTGTTTCTGGGGTTACCTACATGACTCCCACTACCACTACTATAGAGACAGGAGGGCTAGGCTCACCAGGACACAGAAGAGGATTGCCCTTGTCTTCTGGGAGGCCTGGTTTAGAATCCAGAGTCAGCACAGGGTGAGGCTGAGGTACCAGTGCCTCTTTCTAACCCGATCCTGAGGCAAGTGGAAGTCATATTTGTTCCTGCCCAGTGAGGAAGTTGGCCAAAGACTCCTACTATGATCACTGCCTGTAGCCACCGCCACGTAAATCCACTTTCCTCTCAAGTGGCAGCAGTAATCCATGTGCTCACCGGGGAAGTTACAGGGTCATGGTGGCACTGGGTGGTTTAGGAGGGTTCTCAGCTCTGGATGGGGAAGGCCTGAGCTGGGGAAGCAAGGGAGCAGAACAGCCATCTCCTGGTAGGCTTAGCGGGAGGCAAGCAGGGACATGATGGATTTGGCTCCTCATCCTGCCCAGACAAGAAAGAACCAAACTCTAGGCAAAACACAGGGTTCTTGTCAGGCCTGGCTCTCAGAGGAGAGGAGCAGCTGAGTCTGTGCGTGGGTGTGGGTGGGGCATGGGGGTGGGGGTGGAGGAATATATAGCTTTGTGGTGAGGAGAGTTGAGACAGGTGCTGCTGCCAAGCTTGGAGGCCTGGGGATACCAATGGTAGGACTCCAGGGCTTCATCTCAAGAACATACAGTCAAAGCTTTATCATCTTCTTTAAGACAGGCTCTTATGTAGTCTACTGTAGCCTCAAACTCTCTATGTATTTAAGGACGACCTTGAACTCTTTGATCTGTCTGTCTCCACCTCCCAAGTCCTGGGTTATAGGCATGCACCATCATGTCTAGTTTATTCAGTGCTAAGGGCTCCATCTAGCTAAGCAAGCCCTCCGCCAATTACTCTACACCCCAGCCCAACAAAATATTTTTATGCATGAAATATTCTAGAAGCCTGGTGTAGTGGCTCACATCTATATTTCAGCACTTGGGAGACTGAGGGAGGAGTATCCTTAGTTGGAGACTAGCCTAGGCTATATAGGGAGACTCTGTCTCAAATAAACAACACAACCAATCAGTCAGACACTTCTGGAAGCTACCTATCTGTCTCTTGAGATAAATGATTAATTAAATCATTGTTATACAGATGTAAAAAAAATGCTTGTGGTATTAAATATTTTCCACTTTTTTCTACTTCTCCCTCTTCTTTCTTTCTTTCTTTCTTTCTTTCTTTCTTTCTTTCTTCCTTCCTTCCTTCCTTCTTTCTTTCTTTCTTTCTCTTTCTTTCTTTTCTTTCTTTCTTTCTTTCTTTTTTCTTTCTTTCTTTTCTCCTCCTCCTCCTTCTTCTTTGGCAGGGTTCCCTGTGTAGCCCTGGATGTCCTGAAATTTGCTGTGTAGATCAGACTGGCCTGGAACTCACAGCGGTAGGCCTGCCTCTGCCTCCCAAGTGCTGGGATTAACAACTACCCTGCCTGGCTGTTTCCTCATCATTAGAGTTAAGGAGTACAGTATCCTTCTTAAAGAGTGTCACCAGCTGTTACAGTCTGTGCTTCTTTAGCACAGCCCTGAGGTGCTGGACCATCTCATGGGGCTCCTCCTTTCCCCTACAGGACCTGGCCTCTACCCCAATCAGTGGCTTACAGACAAGAGGCCTGAAGAGAGAGGCTTCTCCATCCATGGGGACCAGTGCCTACATGGAGGGCTGGGGGCTGGGTTTATTTGGATCTAGACTTACTTTGCCTGTGTGCACCGAGGCTTGTCTGTAGAGCAGGAACACGGGTGGTTTCCTGTGAGGTGTGAGATTATTCCAGAGCCTTCTGATGAGGCCCCCGCTCTAGTCTCACTGTTTCATTCACTTGTCCCTACATACTGAAGTCAGAACGGTTGTTTTGTTTAGCAGGGTCTCACGGATCTATCATACCCGTCACAGCTGTGATTACAGATTAGCGTGTCGATAAACCTGACCAGAGTGACTAATGATTGATTTACTGATTGTGTTTTGAGACAGTCTCTAACCCAGGCTGGCTTTGAACTCACTATGTAGCTTGAACTTCTGATCCTCCTTCCTCTACCCCTTCAGTACAGGTGTGTATCATCAGCTTACATGGTGCTGGGCACGAATAATAAAAACCCAGAAACCCTTATTAGAGTTCATGCTGAAGATCAGAAAAGCAAAGCAGCCAACCACAAGAGAGTTCTTACCTCTACCGAGGTGCAAACCAAAAGGGGCGATCCCGTCCTCACGTCCTCACTGTGACTGCAGACAGCCTGAGCTCCTGTCTCCTCCCCTCTTATATTCCTCTCTAATGCTGGGATTAAAGGTGTGTGCCTCCACTGCCTGGACTCTATGGCTGATTATTGTGGTTAGCTTTGCACTCTGATCTTCAGCCAAGCTTTATTTGTTAGATTATAAACAACATATCACCACATTGGACCGAGGACTTCATTCGTATTAGGCAAGGTTACATCCCCAGCTCTAGAGGGATCTTTTAAACCTAAGAGCCCAAACTTGTTATGCTTCTGCTTAAAATCCCTCATGGTCTCAATATCAAACTGTGACATAGAATGGGAAGCCTTTGCCTGGCGGGAACCCATCACTTCCCCATCCCTGCCCCACAGGACTCAGTGCCTGAGTTGTATAGATGCCATGCTCCTAAAGAGGAAGTGCTGCAATGGTTTTGGTGCTGGGACTCAAACCTCAGACCTCTCGAAGACTAGGCTAGGGCTCCACCACCAGGCTACAAGCCCAATAGTGATTTTTGTGCTCACTCTTGCCTGCATTCCTCATCTGATTAACCTAAATAGCTCACCAAGATTGTTTGCTTATTTGAATTTAAATTTATTTTACCATTATTAAAATGATACATCATTTTCTGGGTATTATAATATACATGTATAATCCCAGAACACTGAGATGCTGAGGCTGGAGGGTCATAAGTCCAAATCCAGCCTGGGCAAGACCCTGCTGTCCTTAAAAAACAAAAACAAAAACAAAACATTTTGGGAACTGCAATTCAATGGCAGAGTGCTTGCCTAGCATTTCTGGGGCTCTGGTTTGATTGCCACCACCACACACCCACAAAGAATCATTGATAATACTTTTTAGAATTTTATTATTAGGGGCTGGAGATATAATAAGGTCACAGAGTACTGGCCTCATACACGTGATGCCTTGGATTCAGTCCCTATCTACATGCATATGCACACACATTAAATTTTCTTTTTAAAATTTTATTTATTTTTGGAGACAGGGACCTGGCTGGCCTTGGGACTCTTTATGTAAGCCAGGCTAGTTTTGAATTCACAGAGATCTGCCTGTCTGCTTCAGGGGTGCTGGGATTAAAGCTGTGAACTACCTTGCCTGGGGCAGGAGAATCATGAGTTCCAGGCCAGCCTGGGTCAAGTAGTTAGACCTTGTCTAAACCCACACATATATGTATACACACACACACACACACACACACACACACACACACACACACACACACACCTGTCAAAATGCATACATACATTTGTGAATACATGCATACTGACAGACACAGTAAAGGGGGGAAGACTGGAAGGAAACACCAGATGTTAGCGATGGCTGTCTTTGCTAAAAAAGTTACAGGTGAGTGATTTTTCTTTATAGCTTGCAGTTTCTCTCAAGCTTTATGAACTGGTTCTGGGATATATAACTCAGAGGTAAAACACTCATCTCACATGCCAGAGGGCCTGGGTTTGATCTCTACCACTGGCAAAGGCCAATAGGAAATAAAAGGTCAAGGCCAAAGGCCTTTGTTTCCAACTCAGAAGAGTTGAGCAAAGGAGAGGCGGACAAAACGTCTGCTCCTCCTTCACTGTACATTGTCTCTCTGCCCACACTGCTTGCCGAAGCCTGGGCTTCCTCTCCCTAGTGCAGTGTCCTCCCTCTGCCTCACCTCACTGTAGGTGACAGTAAGCCACGCCTGTTAGAGGCTGGTTACAGGTGTGCCTGACCACGCCACTGACTTCAATCAAGTTGAGGATTTCAACCTAGATCTTCAATCAAGCAAATCCCATCTAACATGGACTGGATATAATCCGTTAGAGACTTTCACTATACTAACATTTTCTTCCCACGGGACCCCACAAGGCTCCCATCGTCCCATTTCAGCAGGAAGTAACTTGGAGGATGCTATGCCCCCGTCCCCCATTATTGTCTATTAGGGTAGTGTAAGCCTAGTTAGGAATGACCTTCCTATTGTTTAGGGTTGGGAATGGAAGGAGGTGTTCACGTTTGGACACCTCTTTCAGATGACTTTAGGGTTTAGGTGGAATAGACATGGTTAGGATGTACAATAGCAGATTTCTTGTATTTCATCTTTATGATTGTTAATTTTGGATACTTTACACTGTTAAGTTTTAATCCTCTTTTATACTAAAAGGGGAATTGTAGGGGACAGTAAGCCACTCCTGTTAGAGGCTGGTTACAAGTGTGCCTGACCACGCCTGTTAAGGCGTGATCAAGGTGAGGTCAGGATGGGCTCTTAAGGGACCACAGAGCGCATGGAAGCCCCTTCTCCTTCCCCTTCTCCCTGGCCTCGCTGCTTGCGTGCCCCTGGCACTCTCTGGCTTGTGTTTGGCTGGTATTTATCTGAATAAAGGTATCTTGAATCTACAAGCTTTTTCCATCACCTCACCACCACCCTTTCCCATCTGTCTGTCTGTCCATAGGGACACATTGTCCACAACTGGAAGGCACGATGGTTTATCCTTCGGCAGAACACACTCCTGTATTACAAGCTAGAGGGAGGCCGGCGAGTGACCCCACCCAAGGGAAGAATACTCCTCGATGGCTGCACCATTACTTGCCCCTGCCTGGAGTATGAAAACCGGCCGGTATGTGAGCATCCTGATGCCTGGTCCTCTGTTCTAGCCACCTTGCCCCTTTGTTATCAGTGAATGATTTGGGTTCAAATCCTGACTGCCTCATAAACTCGGGCAAATAGTTAAACCTCTCTCAGCTCTCATTTGTCAGTTACAAAAATCAGGATAAAGCAATTATGTTACACATGTGATGATGCTGGTTGAGAAAGTGATGATTTGTTAAAAACAAACAAACAAACAAACAAAAAAAACACCTAGTGTTCTAGGAGGCAGACACTAATTCACAACAAAACCAGAAACTAAAAACTAGCAGAAGAGACCACAGGAAGACACCAGATGTCAGCAATGGCTGTCTCTTAGACAGAAGCACGGGTGAGGTTTTTCTTTATCTTTTGCTGTTTCCTTCAAGATTTATGTCCATAATTAGGGGACATAAAATGTGAGAAAATATGCTGTCTTGGGGTTCATTATGATGACTTACAACCCTTGAGGGGTGGGTATATGTTTCAGAAGTAGGGGTGGCAGCTTTGACCCTACATCAAAAAAATATGTCGGGGTCCAGGTGTGGTGGCTAATCCCAGCACTTGGAAGACAGAGCAGGCTCTCGGGAGTTCAAGACCAGCCTTGTCTATATGATGAGTCCCAGGCTAGCCAGGGCTGCTAATGTACCCCTTCTATAATAAAAAAAAAAATAGAGAGAGAGAAAGAAACTAATGGGGCCAAGAGGTGGCTTAGCTGTTAAAAACATTTACTGTTCTTGCAGTAATTTGCTTCCTAGCCTTCATATCAGACAGCGCACAACAGCTGACGCTCCAGTACCTATGACTACAGTTCCAGGAGATCTAGTGACCTCTGGCCTCTAAAGGCACCTATGTGCATGTGGTACACACACACACACACACACACACACACACACACACACAGAGAGAGAGAGAGAGGTTGAGAATGTAGTGTAGCTCAGTGGTAGAGCTCTTGTCCAGTGGGTTCTATTTATCAGCAACACATGGCCATTGCAAACATTTAGAGTCCCAGATAATAGTGTAAATATGAGCTGCAGAGGAGGGCACCACTATGGTTTGTCTAGGGCAAGTACAGCCTCAGGAATAGGGATCCTGGGGGTGAAGGCCTGCCGATGGGGCTGGAAGGGAATGCTCACCAAGCTGAATCCTCTGTGTCAGTAGCTGCTCACAATCCTTGCATTCATGGATTGCTAGCAGTGCAGTACTTCTCTCTCCACCTAGTCCTGGAGCAGGCTGTTCCATCCTGGGTGGATTTCTCTGAGAATGCTGACCAAGGGCTGAGCATGTGGCAGAGGGCAAACCTTTTGGGAAGGAGTTGAAACAGGGTCACATGTAGAGTGAGTGGATGACTTGGTGAGGTTTGAACTAGAGACAGGGATGGGAGGGGCTTTGTTAGCAGTCCTGTAGGGGTACATGGTAGTGACTTGTTGTTATAGGTAGAGACTGGAGCTCAGCGAGGTTCCTGGGGCGACCTAACCTTTCTAGCTAAGTGGCAGAGCTGAGGTTTGTGTTCAGCTCCATCTGACCAAGCTTGGGAAGTCCCCTCTTCAGAGAGGGGCTGTGATAGGAGGTGGGGCTATGGCTCTGGAAGGATGAGTTAGAGCCACAGTGCTGGGAAGTACTGCATTAATCTGTGCAGAAGGGAAAGATTGCTTTAGGAGGCCAGGAGCTCCTTGTCTTGGATCTATCCAAATCAATCTTTACAGCCCCACCTGCTGAGTGTGGGCAGGGTTGGGCCCTAGGCATCCCTGGATACATGGTCTCCAGGATCCTCCCTGGCCCTCTCATTCCTACTGCCAGCATCCCTTGGCCAGTTCTCCCCTAAGTATTAGTCTGTCTGGTTGTCTCTTCTCACAGCTCCTCATTAAGCTGAAGACCCGAACTTCCACTGAGTACTTCCTGGAGGCTTGTTCTCGAGAGGAGAGGGATTCCTGGGCCTTTGAGATAACAGGAGCTATCCACTCAGGGCAGCCGGGGAAGGTCCAGCAACTCCACATACAGAAAAACTCCTTCAAGTTGCCCCCACACATCAGCCTGCAGTGAGTGTTCCACCTGCCTGCCCCTGACTCTGTCTGGCCTCCCTGCTGCCTCTCCTGTCCATTTAGTGGGGAGGCAGACCTTTTGGTACAACACTGGCTTGGCTATTCCACATTTGTGCTTCAGGGCCAGTGGTTTTCTCTGTCCTGGTTTTGCTGTGTTGACTCCTGGAACTTGCCTTGTTTAGTTCCTCTCTCCTATATAACCTTTCAGGGCCTCTACCAAGTCTTAATACCTCAGCAAATGAAGTAGAGACCCCCATTCCATTTTAGGCAGAGTCCTTAGACAGGTCTCATCAGCAGTTTGGTGGCTGGAAATGGCTGTTTTATTGTTTGGAGGGATTCCTCATTCAACCATCTAAGAAATCATTGAGTAGATAACAAAAATGTACAATGATTATGTGTCAATTTTGAAAAGGAAAAAGAGATGGTTATTGAGTGCCTATTGAATGTCATTCATTGTGCCAGCTATTCAGCAGAGGTAAGCCTAGGGACATACATAGATAGAGAAGGTCTCTCATTGGTGGCAGCAGTTGTCACATCAGGCAGAGAGAAGGCCAGTCAGTGGTAATGGTAATATTGTGCCACCGAGGTGACAGGTGTTTCCATCATGGACATGCCCCATGGCCTCTCAGGCAGCTGAACTGTTACGGCCATCATAACTGGGATGCGAGTCCATCCCTGAACTCATACAATTCCACATCAGCTTCTGAAGTCCAGTGTGCACACTATTTGTGGGTGCACATAGCCGCTAAGCCAGGGCAAGTGCAGGGAGGAACAGCCTAAGGTAGGTTCAAAAAGGAAATCTATGGAGGAGGAGCTGGAGGAGTTCAGACAACACGTAGCAGTTCCCAGGGAGCCGTGAGGGTTCCTGCACATTCTGGGTTTTAAGCAGTCACAATTGTTTAGCTTTATGTCAATAGTAGCCCAGTGTAGAAATATTCGACCACTTAGACCATCAAGAAGAATAACATCTGAAAGCCATGCATATTGGATTTTGATTTATAACAAAAGCCTGTTTCTGTGGTATGTGTCATATCATCTGCCCTTTGCTTTATATCATGATTTATATCATGATTCTTGGACCCTCCCTGTAGCAGACAGTATGACCAGGGTCCTTTCTTTGCCTTTCTCCTGTGTAGTCGAATTGTGGACAAGATGCATGACAGCAGCAGTGGAATCCGGCCGTGTCCCAACATGGAGCAGGGAAGCACCTACAAAAAGACCTTCCTGGGTGAGCCTGTCTGCCCATGGCCAGGTTGGAGACCTGGGACATAGTGACTGGAGCTCATCCAATTGCTTAAGCAGATTATAATGGGGACTGAGCTGCTGGCTAAGAAATGGGATAGCGTGTGAGGGTCACCTGTGGGTACAGCTACAGCTCTGAGCATTGGATGTGACCATCAGGCTGCTCTTAGGTAGAACCTGAGACTTCTTAGGCGGTCAAGGTCAAGTTGATCAAGCCCTATGAGTAGGCTAGGGTATAGCTAACCATTGGTCTGACAGGCGCCTGTCTTTGTGCTGACTCAGGCTCCTCCTTGGTGGACTGGCTCATCTCCAGCAGCTTTGCAGCCAGCCGTCTGGAAGGAGTGACCCTGGCCTCCATGCTTATGGAAGAGAACTTCCTCAGGCCAGTTGGGGTCCGGAGCATGGGAGCTATTCGTGCCGGGGATCTGGTTGAGCAGTTTCTGGATGACTCCACAGCCCTGTACACTTTCGTAAGTTAGAGGTTGGGCTCTTCTAGGGGAGAGGGCTGGAAGTAGCAAGGGTAGGAGTTGTGAGTCTGGAGCCATAGGGAAGGTCCAGGGTTGGGGAACAGTTCCATCCTGAGGGGACAAGGGGCATCTGTGTTGAGGAATTCTCTTTGTCTTTGCAGCCTCCTTGGCGTGGGCCTGGGTTCCTTTGTAACGAGTCCTTGCCTTCCCCTTCCCACTTCCCACTAGGCTGAAAGCTACAAGAAGAAGGTAAGCTCCAAGGAGGAGATCAGTCTCAGCACCATGGAGTTAAGTGGCGTAGTGGTGAAACAAGGCTACCTATCCAAGCAGGTATGTCTGCTTTTGAGGAGGACATGTATAGCTGTCACCCTTGAAGGAGGCAGGGATGAGCCCAGAGGGAGGCAGGAGCTGAGGATGCTGGAGTACATTCTTGATTAGTGGGAGCCACAGAAACAGGACCTCCCCTCCCCAGGCACAAGAGGCAAGTCAAAGACCGGCGCATGCTCATTCTCACATACATGAACCAAGAATTGTTTTGAAAAAATATACACACAAGTAATTGTCACATTAAAAAGCAACTTCTATATTATTGTCCAGTTTCACCTGCCTGGTGAACATAAGGAACCATCTGCTCTTTTTACCATAGAAGCAATAGTCTATCTCAAGGGTCCTGCTTCCAAAGAAAAAAAAAAAAAAAGCCGGGCGTTGGTGGCAGATGCCTTTAATCCCAGCACTCGGGAGGCAGAGGCAGATGGATCTCTGTGAGTTCAAGACCAGCCTGGTCTACAAGAGCTAGTTCCAGGACAGCCTCCAAAGCCACAGAGAAACCCTGTCTTGAAAAACAAACAAAACAAAACAAAACAAAACAAGGGTCCTGCTGCTACTGGGCCTGACAGGGTCCCTAACTGAGGGAAGAACTGAGGTCCACAGGAGTGGACGAAGGGATGAGAGAGATTCTAGGTGCAGGTTTGTGATCTCGGGTGTGAGTTCAGAGAGTTCTTTCACACTCTGCAACACACAGAGATCAATACCTATTTAGACTTTACCATATACTGTATCATAGACTGTAATTGATCTTTTTTTTTTTTTCTTTTTTTTGGTTTTTCAAGACAGGGTTTCTCTGTGTAGCTTTGGAGCCTGTCCTAGAACTTGCATTATAGATCAGGCTGGCCTCAAACTCACAGAGATCCACCTGCCTCTGCCTCCCTACTACTGGGATTAAAGGCGAGTGCCACTACCACCCAATAATTGATCCTTTTTCTGATATAGAATATTACATTGATTCCTCTGATATAGAATGTTACATTTGATTTCCAAATAATAAAATGCACAAATATACATGTATCTATAGGGTTGATTTTGGACCAAGTTGACCCTTAAAATGTTGGTGACCTTGTGTGCAATGTGATTTGTGAGCTGCTGATCTAGTTGAGGCTTGTTCTGTCCTCCTCCTTTAAAATTAATTAAAAATTTTTAGTATTTAAAGAAGATTTTTGTGTATATGGGTATTTTGTCTGTGTGTATGTGTGTGCAGTTCTTACAGAGACCAGAGAGGGAATCGGATCTTCTGGAACTAGTATTACAGACAGTTGTGAGCCACCATGTGAGTGCTGGGAACTGAACCTGGATTCTCTTCAAGAGCAGCAAATGCTCTTAACTGATGAGGCATCTCTCCAACCCCTGTGCCTTTTTGATGTTCAGTGCTGAGAATTGAATTCAGGGTCTTGTGCTTACTTGGCTAACACTACCACTGAGCTCCGGCCTCAGCTCCTTAGTCCGTTCATTCCTGAATGTTGGGGTAATGTGCCCCCTTTCTTTCAGTGCTAACTTTTAGTTCTCTGTCAACTAGTGTGGCATTTTTGCTGAGGTGCCTCTAAACAGGGATCGTGTCACTGTAATCCTTGAGTTTCCTTCAAACTGTCCTTAGAATGTGGTCCCACTAGAGTAGGCTGGCTGGTTGGGGTTTTGTTTGATGGATGCATGAAAATGGGAAGGGAATGTAGAGCTTGAGCCCTTTCCTTCCTATAGGGGCACAAGAGGAAAAACTGGAAGGTGCGCCGATTTGTTCTGAGGAGGGACCCAGCTTTCCTGCATTACTATGACCCTTCCAAAGTGAGTGACCCATGTCCCTTGGGGGTGTGCTGCTTCCATAGTCTCAAGCAGAGTGGGCAGCTGCTGTGTGTCCTGTTCCACATCCCACCGAGATTCCTTGCAGGCAGTACTGCTCTGTCATAGAGTTGTCTGCTCGGTGCATGGTCTTCTGTGCCCACATCCGCAGACCTTCATTATTTTCAGAAAGAGCACCTTTTACTTTCCCCAAAGCCTGTTTTGTGGGCAAAGGGAGAGACAGAGACTCCTAAGTGGTGCTCACAGCCTCTTCACCCTTTTCATCCAATGGGCCTACAAATTTTGCCCCCCTCAACTTGTTTTTACCTTTGAAAATTTTCTTCTTATTGTATTTAATTTACACATTCCTTTTTGAGTCAGGAATTGCTGTTCCTCATTTCTGATAAATATCACCTCATGCTGAGTTAATCTAATTCTAATCAAAAGAAAAATGGCTCTCTAGTTGGGGTGTTCAGCCTTGCCTTTGATATGGGTTTCAGTTAGGACCCCTTAGCCTCATGGAGGGACCCTTGTTCTCTGCCAAGCACAATGAGGGGCTAAGCCTAGGAAGAGGGATAGAATGAGAGCTGACTGAGGGATCAAACCTTTGGGCCTCCGGAAGGCACCCATCAACCTCTCTATGGGTTCTAGTGGTATTGCTACCATGGCTGTCTCAAATCCTTTTTAATTTTATTTTTAAAGACTGCATGTCTCTTATTAACTATGTAGCCAAGGATGAACTTGAATGCTGGGATTACAGGCATGCGCCATCATCCCAGATTGAACCCAAAACTCTGTGTAGGCTAAGCAAGCATGCTAACCACCCCCCTACATCCCCAGCTACACAAATTCTTTTTGAAACTTGGAAAATATCAACAAATGAATAAGCATGTTTTACATTTAACTCTCAATGTAGCATCAACCATTTTGTGCCCTTTATGAGTCCAGGGCCTTTTGCGATTTGCCCTTTACCCTTCCTATTGGTGGGCTATATCTATCCCAGTACCCAATACCTGCTTCTCAAGGCCAGTTCAATCTCCCCTGAGACTGCCTGCTGTAGATGCCTGCAGGGCTGGGCCCCTTCTTGATGTTTCCCTCTGCTGTCTAAGTCAACAGTTCTGCCTTGTTATTTAACTGCTTTAGTTTTGTTTGCTGGAGTCACCATTTAGTATTGATTATTAACAGAAGGGACTGAGGCTCCTGAAGTGTAAAGTTGCTCTTTAACCATCCAGATACCATAAACCAGTCTTGTTCCATGCCAAGCACATAGAGACTTACACAACAATGTTCAATGTGCAGGAATGCCCATCATAACCATATATTGTTGGCAAAGGTTAAGGAAGCCAGTGCATGTTTCTGGTAGAATGTGGGATGAGACTGTTCAACTCTACCAGACCTGGTAACACCGCCATGAAACAGGCCCAAACTGCCTCATTGGCACAAGTTACTTGGGCAAATGATGGCCAGGTACAGCCACATCTATTAGACAATTATAAGTGGCTTTAGAAGTGGCCTGGTAGGTCAGTTATACTGTGGGGGGGGGGGGGGGGGGGATGGACTTACTAATCAGTCTCTTCCTCCATAGGAAGAGAACAGGCCAGTAGGTGGGTTTTCTCTTCGTGGGTCCCTTGTGTCTGCTCTGGAGGATAATGGTGTTCCTACTGGTAAGGTGCAACTTCAGCTCTGGCTTAAAGATCTCCGGGGCCTCCATCTGCATGCATTAATGCCCCTTGGGGCTCAGGGTGGGGCATGCCTGAGCTCTGATCAAGTGGGCCTTTCCTTAATGAGCCAGTGATGGAATTCTTGAAGTCCGCTTTAAAAACAAAGGAAAATGCTATATGGGATGTTTTTGTGTTTTAAGAATAAAACTGAATATTCCTTACTTATATTCTCTTAGTTTCTATGCTGATGGTCCACAAGCTTCCACCTAAGTTACAGCTAAGGGCTAGTGTTTTCATGTTAATGACATGCTTTCATTTCCTATTCAATTTTACAATTCCCAGCTATAGTAGGAAGGTAGCATCACTTCTATCTTGCAGATGTAGAAATTGAGACTCAAAATCAATTCAAAGCAAACATCAAATTCTGTGCCTCTTTTAACAGGGGATTTTTTTGATGTGAATGACTGTAGGTCTATGGGTAGCACAGGGACAGGCAATCAAGCAAGCTGCAAATGTCCAGAATAACCACTGGTAGGCCTTATGGCTGTAGGGAGTTGAAATACTCCAGTGTTTTTTGTCTTAGTTGATGCTTAGCTTCAAGCTGGAAGCTGTCATTGTTATTCAATCCTTTTTCCTCCTGTGTAGGAGTCAAAGGGAATGTCCAAGGAAATCTCTTCAAAGTGATTACGAAGGACGACACACACTATTATATCCAGGCCAGCAGCAAGGCTGAGAGAGCAGAGTGGATTGAAGCTATCAAGAAGCTAACATGACCTAAGGGAACAGGACCTGGGCCCTCATTCTCATCAACTGATATAGATGGGATTTCATGGAGAACTGGAGTACAAGACAGACGTTGGACTTGGATATGGCTCAATGGTGGAGGACCTGTCTGGGCAATCCTGAGGCCCCGGGTTCAATTATCAGAAAAGACTTTAAAGTTGTCCATTTTGTACTGCTTTGGAGTGAGACTACTCAAGATGGTTCCTCAGATCACAGTGGTGGAGAGATTTACTTGTCTTCTAACCACCGATTTGAAAAGCTGGGACGGCTGTTAGGTGGCATCGTCTTGACTTTTGCTCTTCAGGACAGAAATCTGTGTCTTGTTGGGCGTTGGTGGTGCACACCTTTAATACCAGCACTGAAGAGGCAGAGACAGGTGGATCTCTGTGAGTTCAAGGCCAGCCTGGTCTACAGAGTTCCTGGACAGGGCTACACAAACTCTGTCTTGAGAAACCACACCCACCTGTGTCTTTGGGGACCATGGTAGTATCTCTTTGTTGGAACACTAATTTGGGCTTTGCTATATTATATTACTCTAGTCTTAAGACAGCTCTGAGTGATTTCAACAATTCACATCTTTGGAATTAATAAAGATTGGCATTTGTCTCTATTTCTTGTACAGTTTTATGGTCCTCACATGTTTACTCCCTGTAAGGCCCTATGTATTACAGAAACTGGTTATGGGAAAACCTCAAGCAACCTGTCACTAGGATGACGTATCTCATTTTAAAGTGGTGATGCTGGCAAACTTTTGACTGTTCAGAAGATATTTTGCTTTGCAGAGTAGGACAGCAAATATCACAAGCTGCAGAGGTCATAGATCTTTTTTTTTTTGGAACAGATTTTTAAAAATTTTATTTTTTTATAGTGTTCTGTCTGCATACATGCCTGAAGACAAGAGGGTGCCAGATCTCATTAAAGATGGTTGTGAGCCACGATGTGGTTGCTGGGAACTGAACTCAAGACCTCTGGAAGAATAACCAGTGCTCGTAACTGCTGAGCCATTTCTCCAGCCCCATAGATATTCTTGAAGAAATTTGTTACAGATATTTTTTAAAAAGGCAGAAATACAGCTTTTCTATACAAAATGAACATTTAGAAAGATGTGGAGGAGACCTCTAAACGACAAAGATACAAATGGCAAAAGTTAAATCAAAGCCTAAGACTGGCCTAAAAATGAACATTAACTGAAATAAGTAGAAACTTCCCCATTTGGAAGATTAACCTAAAGTGAAAAGTCTGTATCATACAATGTTTTTTATAAACATTTTTATTAAGTTTATACAGTGACCTGGCACAAGTTATGGCCAGCATTCTTGCCAAGGACAATGGCATGGACTTTGATAAAATACATAACTTACATTTACGGGGAATGGATATTTCTAAAGTGCCTAAGTAAAAACTTCTCTTAAAATAGATTTCCTCTTAATGTCTGGAATGCCAGACCCTGAATAGTCAGGAATCCCAAGAGCATATTCCTTACTTTGCAATAGACTGCCTTTTCAGGCACCATTTCTTTCGTTTGGCATCTTTCCAGGTTTAATGTACCCAGAATTACTTTTAGGACATTGCTAGGTGCTTATCTGAATTAAGCTGCATTTGGTTTGATAGCTTCCTGCTTCCAAATTGACATAGCCATACCTTCCATGGCTAAGGGCGAGACAAAGATTCTCAAGGGTTCTAAAGCAGGTATCACCAGTTTCAGACAAAGCACTGAAGCTGGTAAGGTACTAGAACATTTTCATTCTCACTCATGTCAACTGTTCTTGATGAAAAAAAAAAAAAAGAAAAAACTAGGACACAAATGGCTGGTGTATGCAGCTGAATGGTCAATGGTAACTTATGCTCAGTGGCAGAGACAGGCAGGCACATCTCTGCAGCTCATGAAGAAATTGATCTCTAAAAACAAAAAGTAAACTCCAAAATTTGAACATATTCATGAAAATTGGTATGTTTCACTATAAAACTGATAGAAAAGCAGTTTCAATGTTTCTTTCTGGTCAGTTTCAACCAACTAATGTAGAAAATATTGCTCATTTTGTTGTATGAATTAATGACTGTAATTAAAGGCAGAAGAAGGAAAGCAGAACTGTTAGCATTTTTAATGAAAAGGCTTTGGTGGCAAAATCAAGAATATGGTAGGCTGTTCTATTCCTTGTTTATTCTGTTCAGTCTTCCATGGCTGGGTGAGTAATTTGGGCCTCATGTATCTTTGTGTTCTTTCCATCACAGTGTTAGTGATGGACTGATCTTTCCCCTGGCTAGGGTCACCATTTTACACAACTGTAGAACCTATCAAAAAAGCCCAGATGGGATAAAAATCATCATGGAACTCCAGCTATTTTTAACTTTTTAGTTTTGAGACAGGGTTTCTCTGTGTAGTCTGTCTGCTCTAGAACTTGCTTTGCAGACCAGGCTGATCTAGGTGTATGCCACCATGCCTGGCTTAAATTTTGTTAAATATAAAAATTTTCAGTAAACAATTACCAGGAAAAGGGCACTTGTTACATTTCATAATGCATTTTATTTTCCTTCTGTTGTAATGGGGATTGATTCCAAGGCCTTGACATGCTAGGCATGGAGTAGGCCAACTCAAGCATATGATTACATCCTTAGAGTAGCCCAAACTGGTCTCTAATTTGTGGTACTCCTATGTCTCAGAACAAGTGGGATTATAGTTGCCACTGAAGCTTGGTAATAATACCTCCATGCTTTGTTTTGCTTCACTATGGAGTCTTGGATGGCCAGTAACTTGGTATATAGACCAGCTAGGCCTTCAACTCAGAGATCTGCCTGCCTCTGTCTCTGCTGGGATTAAAGGCATATTCTACCATACTTGGCCCTAAACTTGTTTCTTGATGCTTTTAAACCAGTGGTTCAACCTGTGGGTTGGGACCCCTTGGGGGTGGTGGTGGTGGTGGTGGTGTTTGAGCAACCCTTGTCTAAGACTCAAAAACCATTATTTTCATTATGATTCATAACAATAGCAAAATCAAGTCATGAAGCAGCAATGAAAAATACCAGCAACATGGCATGACAACTGGAAATGGAAAAGTTAATAGACTACTATATTAACAAAGGGGACAAACTTTCGTAAGTGGCAAAGTATCTCCCCAACACTAACTTTCAATCTTTTTGAGATACAGATTTTGCAATGGTTTCCCATGCTGATCAATAATTCTGGGCTCAAGGAATCTTTCCAGCTCAGCTTTAAGTACTATAGCCATAAGCATATGCTACCATACCCTTACTATTCAGTCTAGTACTGGAATGCCTAGGTTTTTAAGTTTGCCTGCAGATAATAAATAGTACAAGTATCCTAAGATAAACATGCCAAACTAAATGATTTTCTGTATTTGACTACTGCAGCTGTAACTTTATATGTTATACTAGTCTGTGAAGGTAAAAATAGGAACATTAAAAAAAGGTCAGGGGCTGGAGTGATGGCTCAGAGGTTAAAAGCGCTTGGTTGCTCTTCCAGAGGTCCTGAGTTCAATTCCCAGCAACCACATGATGGCTCACAACCATCTGTAATGGGATCTGGTGCTCTCTTCTGGCCTGCAGGGATACATACATGCAGCCAGAACACTATATTAAAAAAAAAAAAAGTTTGTGTTAAATCTAAAGATCTAAGTAGCACCTACCAGATAAAGAGGAAAATGTCCCCTTTAGTTGAGTGATGCTGCTGAAAGCAGCAGCACTTTATAAAATTTAAGGTAAGTCGTTTAGTATACACCAAAGGGACCAAGTGTAATGACTTCTGTCATTGGTCTCAAACAGGTTAACAGGCACATAAATCCTTTAATTGAATTTCAAGGCTTTTCTCTATCTGGGACCAAATTCACTAAGGTTACATTTACAATTGCTTCCCTAAACTTTCCTTTTGAGTCTGTTACTCAAAGGTCACTAGATTACTTACCCTTTTACTTCTAACATAGAAAGATAATTAGGGTCTGAGCATTCAGATTGGGTTTAACTGGTGACAAGAAGGAAGAAGCCTAAGTTAAATATCCCAGACATTTATTTGATGTTTGCTTGAATACATTTTATATGGAAAGGTTGGGACTGTTTGTCTTAGGTGCCCCTGGTGAATCTCATGGAGGCATTGAACCATAAGAATGCCAATCCATGAACATCAGAAATGGAAACTGAAAGCCTAATTTTAGGATTGCTCTTTAAGATTTGTCTCTGGTCAAATCAAGCCACTCCATTAAAAATGCTTGAGGTGTTAAAGCTTCTGTGTGAAACAGCTGACAGGAAGGAGGGCATTTTGATTCTGGTTTGTTGAATACTTAAATACTTGGAAATAAAAATATTCAGCTTTGAAGTTTTCAATACTGGAAAACTTTCAAGTCTAGGGTTTACAGCCAGGAAGGGCTGCTTTGTATTCCTTAAACTGGACTGTTTTCTACAAGGTTAATCTTCAGCTTTGGCTTCCATCTCTTCTGTATCATCATCTCCATCCACTTCTGCATTTTCTCTCTCCAGCCGTTCCATCTGCCTTGTAAGTTCAGTCTCATCTGTATCTGTGACCACTTTGGGCTGTGGAAGAGGCATAATTTCAAAATGAAACAAATGGCAGAGCAAATTGGATTTCAATAGTATTACCGGCCAGTGCTTAAAATTTAACTTTAATTACTTTCATCTTATGATTGAATTATTATAAATGAAAGTACTTTTAAAGTTAAATTCTATTAGTAGAAAGTTAAAAGAAAGCACAAGACAGTACAAAGAAATAGTGCACACTACAGAGGAATAATACTTCTGCCATTTTAATAAGCTAAACAGAAAACATGAATTCAGTGATCACAACAGAGAACCAGCAATGTCCTGTTTTTTAAAACATGGATATTCTGAGCTCAAGATTCAGAGAATGAACTGTTCTATACACACAGACATACAGCATATGGAAATTAGGTTCTGTTTATATTAAGATGAGGGAAAGACAGATTACTGTTTGAGACAGGTCTCCTTATGTAGACAAGGCAGTCCTCCTGCCTCTGCCTCCCAGTGCTGAAATTAGGTTTCTGTTACTATGCCCAGCAAATTTTTTGTATTTTTCTTCCTGAGGGGAAAAACCCTAACACCACTGGTCCAAATGTCTATCCCATGATATGACAGTCCAGTGCTAATAGTTCTTATTATCAAAAAAAAAAAAAAAAAAAACTTTTAGGAATACTCAATATTAATGGTTACTTTATACTAAATAATTTTTTATTCCCAACTATATCTGACTGGGGAGGTAGCCTTGGTATGTTGACAAGGGTGGCTCTGAGCTGTAGGCAATTATCCTGACCTTAGTTTCCCAAGTGCTGAGATTACAGGCATGAATCATCATATTCAATTAATTAATCTGATACAACAACAACAACACCACCACCTTATTTGTGTGTGTGGAAATGCATGCCATAGTGTGCTTTTGAAGTTGAGAAGACAACTTTTGGGAGTCAGTTTTCTCCTCCTAACATATGGGTCCTGGAGACCAAGTTTGGGTCATCAGGCTTGGCAACTGAGAGCCTTTTCTTTTACCTACTGAACCATTGTGCTGGCCCCACATCTGACATTTTAAACAGCACTAAGAGGCTGCAAAGGTAGCTAAGTAGATGAAGTACTTTTTGTACAAGAGTAAAGACTGGATTCAAAGCCAGCAGCCACACAAAAGCTGGACACAGTGAGCCAGGAGAGTGAAGACAGGTGGCTCCTGAGCTTCAGGTTTAGTGAGTCTTAAAAAACAAGATGGAGAATATCTGACACTGGCCTCTGGCCTTCGTATGTGCACCCATGGGTCCGAATACCTGGGC